ATGCGCTCCCCCCGCAGTGCCCGGGCGGGACCTTCACGCCGTCCATGAAGTCCACCAAGGACTACCCCGACGAGGTGATCAACTTCATGCGCAGCCACCCACTCATGTACCAGCCCGTGTACCCGCTGCAGCGGCGGCCCCTGGTGGTCCGCACGGGCGCCCCCTACCGGCTCACCACCGTCGCCGTGGACCAGGTGGATGCAGCCGACGGGCGCTATGAGGTGCTTTTCCTGGGCACAGGTACCCACTGCTGCTCCGGCCCCTCCTGCGCTGGGCCCGCGGGGTGGAGGGGGCTTCTCCATGGGGCTGGGACCTACGCCGTTGGGGTTGCTACAGGCTGGTCAAGGTCAGCTCTGCCACCTTCATCCTGTGGAGCCTCCTCCCTGTTGCCAGGGTAGCAGACTAGGGGTGGGCAGACCCCACTCTCATCCCTGGGGGACAGGAGACCCTGTATGGGCAGGAGAGGGGGGACATGGCAGACACCTCCAGGATATGTGGGTCCAAATACTACGTGAAGTGCACCCCCCACAGCTCCAGCAGCCTCTGCACAGGCGGCCAGCGCCTGCTCTGAGCGGTGCCCAGCCAGGGTCTGGTGGAGGGGCGCCCCTCAACCCCGGCCAGTCCCCTCAGACCCCTCCCCTCCTCATGGGGGAGGCTTCAGCCCTGGCACAGAGCTGCTGACCACTGCCCCCGGGGTCGGTCCCTGGTGGGGAAGGGGCTGAGGCCGGTGCCCCTTCCCCAGTGCCCTCAGCCCACTGAGGCCCTGCCCGGCCCGTTCCAGACCGCGGGACAGTGCAGAAGGTCATCGTGCTGCCCAAGGACGACCAGGAAATGGAGGAGCTCATGCTGGAGGAGGTGCAGGTCTTCAAGGTGGGTGTGGCCCCGGCCTGTCCTCGCGGGGCCCTCAGTGCCAGCCCCCCACCTCAGAGCCCAGGGCGGGGCCAAGACCATGACCATCTCCTCCAAGAGGGTGAGTTTCAGGGGGGCGTGCTGCGGGGAGGATGGCGCCCGCTCCCCTTTGGGGTCGTGCCCTGGGCACAGGGGTGGGGAAACTGAGGCACAGAACAGGAAGGGAAGGGGCTGCCTGGGGGAGGGAACTGACCTGCCCCTCCCCCTGCCCCCTCCCCCAGCAACAACTGTACGTGGCCTCCGCT